TTCTGATTCCATATTTTAAGGCAAAGGGAAAGAGAATGTATGCCTGGTTAATCTGTATATAATATGGTCTGATAAATCTGATAAATAAATTATATCAATAATTATAATACATTATAAAATGTCATTTTGGGTTTCAAGAAAAAGATAAAAATTGATAAACTTACCCAAAAACATTCTAAGGTTTATCCTTAAGTCTTGTGCATATTATGTTATTCTAACTTGTATTCTTAAGGACATTTTTAAGGAAATTACATCTATCCACTGTTGAAGTTCATAAGCCAAATTTTAAGTAATCCAAGGTTATACCAATAAGTACTTTCTGTGACCCCTAGCAGGTGGTGTTTATTGAATGACATAGTTTTTTTGGTAGGGCCCAGTCATTTAACCAGTCTGAAGTATATGACTGGCTATAAGAACGTTGGCCAGCACAGTTTGGTCAAAACAAACAAAAGCAAAAGGAAGTAAATCAGATTAAATAAAAGCATCCATGTTTTATTGGGCAATAATTCTCAAGGAAACAAAGGTGCTGTAAAATGGTAGCAATATTTATCTCAATGGAAATAAGATAACAAAACTTTATTGAGGCGGTTTAAAAAAAATATTGCAAAGGCCTCAAAACTGTTTAAAAGTACAAACCATATGGCAGTGATTATTCTGTAATCAGACTAAAAAGGGAAATATGGTCTATATTCCATTAGAAATGAAGCTTAAAGGGATACAAGTATAGAAAAAGATTGCATGTTTATTGTTGATTTTACATATCTTTACAATTTAGTTCAAATGTTTTACTGCTGTTGCGTATGTTACACACGGTCAGGAACTCATGCAAAGATGATTTGTCAAACACAGTTATTGGTAGCCCTTTTATTGTGCTCATATGGTTTATATTTAGATTTTTTTTTTATAATCTGTTGCAAGTACATAAAGTTGACAAATATGATGTTCTACTTTGGTATTTGTGTCATGGCACTGTATATTCTAATAAGCCTCAAAATCATTATTATTAGGCCCTATGTGAAAGTTAATACCGTCATGGACAATTGAAAATTTCATGTAAAATTCTATGAATGCAGCTTTAAAAAGCGTGACCACTTATTTGTACCATATAGTCAGGCTGCAAAGTGTTTCATACAACCACAGTGAGGTGAAATACTATACTTGACAACTCTCCTGGATATTAAGGGAAATACTCCACTATTGACTTCCTATCCCAGTATCCTGCTGTCCTAGCATCTGTCCTAAGTTAAAATCTGGGATTTAAACTCCTTATCATTTAAGGGTTCATTAACTCTGCTTTTACAGTGATATAACATGTTCATATTATGTTAGATTATCTTCATATGTAATAGGGCATAGAATTGTGTTAAATTGTAAAACATACTATGGCTTCTGTTTAACTTTTTTTTTTCTTCTCAATCTCATGAAAAAATTAGATATATAATACACATAATAAGGAGTTTATCTATACATATTATACATATGTAATTATTACAAGGAGATGAGCATAAAGAGTGAAACTCCTAGAGAAGTCTGTCTCATTTTAAAGTGATATACCGACATATGAAATACAGGATAGCAAATATATCTATGCAAGGTTAGAGTAGAAGAAGTCATAAACCTGGTACATGTTAATCACGAAAAGATAAAAACATATCAGGAAAGGGCACTGTATAACATGCCAGATAGGTGTACAAGAAACATAACCATATTTATCAATATGCTGAAGCACCAAAGAAAAGAAAATAGCTCAAAGAATGTACCATAATGAATAGCAAAACATGATTAGAGAATGCCGTCTGTCTATATCAAAATAGGGTTGGACGGGGGGCGGGGCCTGGCTGCTGACTGAACAGGACGCACGGTGAGGGAGCTCCTCAACCCTAAAGCCTATCTAAGCCTAAAAACGACAATCTACCCCAAAAATCTTACCAAGCAAGGACATACCATGACTCAGGAGCATGCTGGCAACGAATCGGTGTGAAAACTCGATGGCGAAATATGCCCGTGGTGAAGAGCACGCCCTGCGGCCTACTAATAGACGCTGGGCGGGAGACGAGGCCGGTCTCCTGTCCATTACTCGACTTGCAAGCAGCCTAGATCTCACTTTCCCCCCCTCTGGGCCGGTGGGGGTCATCCCGGTCTTCACTGTGCCACGCGCTGGAGTCCTACTTGGTCGTTGCGAACTGCCCATACGACAAACTAAATGCTGTGCAGCGCCCAAGATGGCGGATGCGCCTATGATTCAAACAGCATCGCAGCATCAGGCCGACATCACTGACTCACTCGTTCACCTCGAAGTGCGACTGGATGCAGCCTTTAAAAAATTCAACCTAATGGAGAGGATGAAAAGAGTGCCCCCTGCAATGCCGCCACAGGTGAGCAAACAGACGCTTGGCGAGAAGAGGCAAGAGGGATCCCCCAAAGGCAACCCGACCATACAAAAGGCACGCCACTCTACCTTAAGCCCTCCCGGGCCTAGAGCCACCTGGGGAATACCCCCGAAGCACAGATGCAGAAGTGAACAACATGCCGAAGCCAACGTGGTAAAGCCCCCTGCAACCTTCCAACTGGGAAGAATTTGGACTCAAAGAGGACCCACGTTCGTGGCAACATGGTGCAGGCTCTAGAACAAGCCTGAGGCATGGGGAGTACCTCGCTCTCGACAAACAGCATGGCTCACCACAGTGGACATTGCTCGTATGTAAGGCGAATGCCTAGCCAGGGTATCAGCTAACTTGGCTGGAGGCCAAGTTAGGTTGACAGACAGGGGCTCTGATGTGGGACCGTTGGCCTAGCGGCATAATGTAACTTATTGTGTGTCTACTTATTACCTAGGCATACTATGCAATAGCAAAGCTTTGATCTCGAATGCTAAACATATATTATTGAGTTCTGTTCACTCGTGCACTGTACCTGTCATGTTAACAGAATAGCAGAATCTCCTTGATAAGCAACACTAATGTGTATAGATTTTATATATATATGAGCATAGCGAATCTAGCACCGTAAAGCGATGGTTATCTTACGACATATGTTCATGTTTCTAGCCTGTTACTACTAATGATACGCGATTACACTAATCGGATTGCCCATAGCATGGTTATTGCACCATTCTAGCAACACTATTGTGTATAAATTTTATATATATATATATATATATATATATATATATATATATATATATATACACATAGCTAATCTAGCACCGTGAAGCAATGGATATTTTACATCATATGTTCATGTTTCTAGCATGTTACTACTAATGATATGCAATTACATTACTCGGATTGCTTACAGCATCATTACAGCACCGTTCTAACTTACTTATACTTACTTATAGGTGTTTAAATCCAAATGTTTAAGCCTGATTTAAAAAAAAAAAAAGTGCCTGTCATTCATGTGCCCCGCATGTCAAGCGTGGGAAAAGCCAGAGGACTGCTTTTGGGGCACCTCTCGCCTGCCTGTACAATTTACGTGCACAGCAAAAATAAAGAATACAATTTTTTTTACAAAAAATAGGGTTGGATGCAGGAAGGGGCCCATTGCCATATCAGCCGACTTCCGAAAGTGGCAGGGCAGGAACATGTCTTAAAAAGTCCATACGGAAGCATAATACTTTTGTGTGGAGGCTAAGAAGGTTACAACTCCAGAGAAGTTATAAGGCCTCCCTCCCACACTATCCATAGTTATATAGGGTCTCGTATAGTCCAAGGTTGAGAGAAAAGGCCTGATTGGTTCATCGCTGCCTATGGTAGGTGGTTTTCTGTCTGTGTGAACAATGCAGTGGGTCTCTGCCCCTGTTGGCCTTCAGCCCAGGGTGCTAGTAACATATAGTATCTATACTTGCATGAGGTGAGTACCCAACAGAGGGCCATTCGCTGTCCAGCGGTCACACTTCTGTTCTTCCTTCTGCTTGTGATGTGGTAAGACTGTTATCTGCTGGCCCTCCAGGGAGGCCCAAAAGCACTTGAAAACTTTGTCCAACCACCTCAGGAAATGAACAGTGAAGTCAGGATGTTCCAATCCAGGTTGCTGGTTTATGGAACTACTATGAGAAAGGGCTGCCACTATCTTGCTGTGTGCAAAGAGTAAGTAGATTCTGTATCAATAATTCACATTTGTGCTTCCTGCAAGCCAGTGAAGACAGGGATAACCCCAGCTGGTCCAAAGGGAGGTGGAGGTGGAGGATGCTTGTTAGGGCACTGTGTCGTTATCATTAGATTATCATTAGATACCTGGGGCTCCAATTAATGGCCCCATCCTGACCAATGACCTTTATGCAGTGCTAAATGTGAGCGCTGCATTCTGATCTGTAAATGGGGATTTATATACTTATTTGCTGTATTGTAGCGTGTGCAGTGTTAAATCCCTGCTCACACCAGGGGATCAATTGATACCTGGTGCATTTCTCCGAATGTGTGGCCCCAGACTGACCAATGAGGTGTATGCCCTTTTGTGTCTAATAAAGTATGCTTTGTAGTTACCGTCGAGTGCCAACTCCAACAGCTTTGTTTCTACTTAAGTAGAAACAAGCAAACTAAAGCTGTGTCATTCAGTGGTTAAGGGCCAGTGAACCATCAGCCTGTTTTAACAATACCTCTAATTTCATACCATGTCTGAGTTATTAAAGGGGCATTCAAGACCCCTAAAGTACCCCAGCTTGCTAAAATGCTTATTGTATGAAGAGTGTGTCCTTTTCTTGTGTCCTTTTTTCATTTTACAAAAAGTGCAGATTTTAATAGAAATTTACACTTTTATAAATTAACCTTGCTACACCCCCTGGCTGTCAGTCAGACAACTGGTTCTGTTAGTTGGTTGTTTTGCTCAGTGGAGCTAAACTCAACAGGCAAGCAATTGCCTGGAGTACCTGCCTGGCAAAAGACTTCTCATTGAGCTGCATTGGTTTAGAAGGTTAGAAGGGGAATGACTTGAAAAGGCTGTGGACAAGAGATCTTCAAATTTTGCAAGATGTTTTTAGATATTACCAGAGAAAAGTACATACTTAAATGTGTAGTGTAACCCAACTGGTTACCTCTGCTATTTTCTCCTCTCAGCCAGACTGGAACCGTTATATTATCAAGCTTGATCTCCACCTAGTAACTAGACAAGACATAGTTCTTGGAGTCATTTGATTTTTATTTGGCCACATATGGTCTTTATGCACTGACCCCTAGCATTTGGTCTCGATAGCAAAAATACAAGTGTTTTTTTTTCCCAGGACCCTCTGTGTCTGAGAGATAATTGAGTCAGAAAACTATAACTCAATTGTCTCTCAGTTACTGGAAAATATAAGAAATATTATACAATCCCCAAAAGTATCCCCAATATGAACAGGAACCACACAAGAGTTACATACCCCAATAGCCCTTGTCTGCACGCCCAGGTTGGTCAAATAGTGCTTAGATCTGTTTGGTAGAATGGAATAGCCACTGGGGTGAAGTTCTGACCAGCCGGCCACAAGGTGAAAGCCCAAAACAGTTCCAGGGAAATAGGTGTTCCGGACAGTCTCGGTTCGGGCGTTCCTGTGCGAACACTGTAAAAGGTATTCCCTTGGTTTCAGAGAATACTCCCTCCAGTAGGTAGTTCCCATCTCCCGAACGTCATTCGATTAGCTGGTCGGGAAGTGGGACGGGCCACAATATAATCTTTGCTGGAGTTCATGCAAGTGCCTAGTCGAAAATAGTTCCAGGCACTCGACGACCAAGTACCGCTGCCCGCGTTCGGGAGACAAAATCACCACCATTCTTTTGTTGACCTGGTGTATTCAATTACACAAAATGGCGGCCACCCAGGGGAAGCATTCATCAATCACTTCCCTTGCAGTTTCACACTTATGTTAACTGTTGTGATGGTTCTAATGGGGTACAAAGGTGGTCCTCATTCGGGAGTCAAATACAGTGGGTTCGGGTAAAATAACTCCTGAACATTTAAAAAGGTAAAGCAATCGAAAGGAACGGTATGTTCCGCCACAAAATACATGAATGTTTTCATTTGGGGAACTGTATATCTACTAAGTAGTGATTTTTTAAAATTTGGGCAATGGAGTGTCCCTTTGCAAACATGGTATTGATTCTCTCTAGAAGTCCATTTTGAATGATCTACAGTGTCATTGTCAAACTGATAGCCTTTGCCGTTGGCTATTCAATTCAATTGTTTTATATTGTCTCTTCCATCTAAAAAAAAAACCCATAGGTCCTATTGTATTTTATCATTAATTTAAAATTTCCCAAACTAAAGCCTAAGCTTCAGAATAGTGTGCCATCCTTAACATTTAAATGTGTGACATTTCCCTAAAGCATGGATTTCCAGTGGAAGATTAATGAATAAGATATAGCTCTCCATGTCTTTTTTAGACATTACTATCCTAAAATAACCTTTGAATTGCATTGTACTATACTATTCAATTTACTATGTTCTGCTACTATGCATTTACATATTTTATAGCTCATCCACTCTAAAAATATAGGCATCACTGAAAACATTACCAAAATATCTTCTGCCTTTGTTTTCATACTATGCCCCTTTCTTTCTTTACATGCCCCATTTATTGCATTAGAAATCCCTTACTAACAATATTTTAATTTATATTTACACTGATACATATTTTGAGTTAGTATTTTTTCTATAATATTCAGACATATTCCATATCTGTGCAATAGGGTATTTTTATCATGGTGATTCTTATGGTGATCCTAAATAAGCCTTTTTTTTATACTGTTTAGTGCCTTGCTTGTTATATATATATATATATTTTATTTCAACATCCAATTCACTATATGAAGCAGCTACATTTCCTAGTAAGAGCTATGCCTCGTAGACTGTGATGGAAGTTGTTAAAACTATATCAGAATATCAAAGTTTAGCCCATTATGTCATCATGGGGAATGCTAGTAAACAGAGACACCAATATTCATCAAGTGACCTTTAGCATTTTATCACTATCAGTATGGAAGTAACAAGTGTTGTGTTGGCCATTGACATGCGTGGTTTTGTCAATAACTTAACGTGAGGTGTAGGTGGAGGATTCATCTTGGATTATAGTGAGTTTACATAATTCAGGCCATGACTAAAAAGAAATATAAGTACAAATTTGTGATCTAACTGTGTCATATTTATGAGCTAATTTCTATTCTGATCATTACTTTACAGTCTTAACCATCCCCAGCATATGCAGTTCACGTAAACTGCACTAATTCATTCATGGACCTTCCAAGTGTCTCATTAAGGAAAGACGATCTCTCTTCAGAACTTAAATCCCTCTTTTCTGTCCTTGTGTCTCTATTTTTTGAGAAGCGATTCAAATTTTGGCATGTAGTGATGCCCTATAAACAGGGACAATATTGCTGAGAAAGTGAAATAAATACAATGATCAGCCACAACATTAAAACCGCGAACAACGGAAGTGAATAACATTGATTATATCATTATGATGGCATCTGTCAGAAAGTGGGATATATTAGGCAGCAAATTAACAGTCAATTCTTTAATTTCATATGTTGGAAGCAGGAGGAAATGGCAAATGAAAAGATCTAAGTGACTTTGACAAGGGCCAAATAGTGATGGTTAGACCACTGGGTTATAGCACTTACAAAATGGCAAGTGTTGTGGGGTGTTACCGGTATGCAGT